AAAACATTTTTTTAATTTATTATTTTTATTTTATGTGTATGAGTGTATTCCCTGCATGTACGTGAGTACACACGTCATGCAATGCTGTGGAAGTCAGAAGAGAGCTTTGAAATCCCCTGTAACTGAGGTTAAGGATGGTTCATAGCCACCATATGGGTGCTGGGAATCGAGGATGGGTCCTCTGCAAGAGCAGTCTGTACTCTTAACTCCTAAGCCATCTCTCCATCCCAAACTTTTTTTTTTTTTTTTTTTGAGCTTTTTAAAATGTGCGGTCTTAGAGATTAAGTGGATTTTGAGTTCAGTCTGCTTGAGTGGAGTGGGTGAAGAGTAAAGGATATTAGGGAAAATCACGCTGGACCAAAAGGAAATCGGTTAGCTTCGTGACCTCGAGTAAAACATTTACCAACTCTTAATTCTTATGATCCTTAAAATTATCTAGATTTTTCTCAAAAAGGCTTGTCAAACTTTGAAATAATTGGAATTGGTCAGTGTAACTGAAAAAACAAATTCCAGCCAGTTTAGCCTGACACTCCCCCTTCCTGACCCTCCCTTTCCTGCCTTTCTCTCTCTCTCTCTCTCTCTCTCTCTCTCTCTCTCTCTCTCTCTCTCCCTCTCCCCCCCCAATGCACACACACACACACACACAAAAAAAAGACGATACTTTGATTATAGAGAGTGTCTGTTCTGTGGCCAGGGACCAAAGAAAGCATTTATTGTACAGGGCAGTACTAGACAGATTGGAGGCGGTCAATAAATACTTGTTGAATTGTGGAGAATTCATTATGACCACATCAGCAGGCGTTGTTGCTATAAAAGTTGGCCAAATGTGGAGAAATAGCTTTATTACAAGGGAGCCGAGATGGAAGATTTGTCCCAGACCTTTCTCCAGGCTTGCTCCATCTTTCGATTCCAATCCAAGATTCTTGTTCATTATTTCAGGCAATTTTCATATATCTTTAAAAACAGAGGAGCCACCTGTTAAGACTGTTTAACTTCTGCTGATTCTCCACTTAATTGCTGCATTTGAAAGTTTTTCAAATGTTTTATATTGTATTTAAATACAAGAACCTGGACTGGAGAGATGGCTCAGCAGTTAAGAGCACTGGCTGCTCCTCCAGAGGACCTGGGTTTGGTTTCTAGCACCCACGTGGCAGCTAACAGTCATCCATAACTCCAGTTCTGGGGGATCCAACACCCTCTTCTGACCTCTGTGGGCATTGCATGATACAGGTACATTGACATACACACAGGCAGAACACTCATACACATAAAAATAAATGAATTTTTAAAATAAATATATGTAGCCAGGCATAGTGGCACATGCCTTTAATCCCAGCACTCCAGAGGCGGAGGCAGGCAGATCTCTGTGAGTTCAAGGCCAGCCTGGTCTACATAGCGAGTTCTAGGTCAGCTGGGGCTGCAAGAAGACCCTGTCTCAAAAAAAGGCCAATAAATAAATATATGCAAGACTAATATACTAAATCTTAGCTTTTCATTTTGTGATAGTATCAGTATTCTTTGGTTATCTAGCTACCTTTCTGGTTTTTTGTTTCTTTTGAGACAGGGTCTCACTATGTAGTGCTAGCTGGTCTGGAACTCAGTATGTAAACTAGATCTGCCCGCCTCTGCCTCCCAGCTACAGCAATTAAAGGCATGCACCACCATGTCTTGCTTTGATTTTTGTTTATTTTTATTTTATGTATATGGGTATTTTGCCTGCATGGATCTACTTGTGCCTGGTGCTCTCTGCCTGTGGAGGCCAGGGAAGGGTGTCCAGTCCCCTGTACATCCAGTCCCCTGGAACTTAGTTAAGGACAGGTGTCAGCTGCTTTGTGGATGCTGGGAGCTGAACCCTGGTCCTCTACAAGAGCAGCCAAGTCCTCTTAATTGGTGAGCCATCTCTCCAGTCCCTACCCCCTTCTTGGATTTTTGAGACAGGATCTCATTCTGTAGCCAAGGCTAGCCTCGGAACTCCCGCCTCTGCCTCCCAAGTGCTGGGATTAGAAGCATATATCACTACATCTGCCTTTTTCATATTTTAATTCTCTGTTTAAACTATGTGTGAATAATGCCAGGTGTGGTGGTGCATGCCTCGGGAGGCAGAGGCAAGCAGATCTCTATGAGATTGAGGCCAGCCTGGTCTACTTTGCAAGTGTCAGGCCATCGGGGGCTACAGGAGACCGTGTCTCAAAAAGACCAAAACACGAGACTGTCTCAAAAAGACCAAAGAAATGTGTGAATGGAGGGATAATTTATTTAGACTTGCAAAACTACACCCTAGAAAAAATTCTGGGATTTTGAGAAAACAGCCTTTGAAATAAACTGAGCTGATGACCCTAAACCTTTTCTTATCAGAAAATCATTTATTTTTCTCTTTGGTGAGAACTGGTTGCTGGGGTGAGCTTATCTAAAATAGATGTTATGGCAGAATGTGTTTAGTCTAAGAGGAACCCCAAAGATAATTTTTTGTCTCTCCTCCCTGCCCCCATTTGCTGATCAGGATACTGAAAGCCACTCAGGTGTGTGACTCACCATCTGTGGGGACGTGATTTAGTCGTTCTTACCCACACCACTGTCATTGTGTCAGGATTTCTTCCACAGCTAATCCTTTAAGCAGGCTGAACATTAGAGTGTACAGTTATATCTCCTTAATTGACTTTAAAAACAATTTTTGTTTTTTTTTTCAGACAAGTTCTCACATAGCCCAATCTGTCGTGGAGCTCACTATGTAGCCGAGGCTTGTCTTGACCTCCTGTGGTCTGCCTCTCAGGTGCTGGGAATACATACTCTACCACACCTAGCTTTGTGTATTTTGTCTTGCTGTACTGGTATTGAACCTAGGCCTCCTATATGCAAGTGCACTGCCTCTTTAAGTTCCTTTTTTTTTTAGATTGTATTTATTTACTTGTGGTGTGCGTGTGCGTGTGTGTGTGCGCATATGCTTGCCACAGCACCATGTGGCAGTCAGAGAAGAACTTGCAGGAGTTAGTTCTCTCCTTCCTCCACATGGCCTTTAGTCACTGAACCATCTTGCTGGCCCTTAACTTTGTTGTTTAAATTATTTTTTTACATTTTATTTTATGTGTATGAGTGTTTTTCCTACACACACTACCACTGAGCTACATCCCTAGCCCTGTTTGTGTTTTGTATTGATTTTGTTGTTACTTTGGGTGGTTAATTTTTTTTTTTTTTTGAGGTGTTTCATGTAGCCCAGGATGGCCTTAAATTCTTGATCTTTCTGCTTCTACCTCCTAAGTGATTACCTTATATTACATTACA